AATATAGATCTGAATGTACAAATGAACAATCTTTAAAAATATAGATCCGAATGTAAACTTAGAATTCCTGCTTTTCTCCTCTAGAATCAGCTCTGGTTTCCCCTGAATGAGCTCTGTTCAGCAGATATTACAGACAGAAGCAGAAACATGAGTTCAGGATCTGAAAAAGGCTGATTTCAGATTAAAAACAGACTCAGTTTAACCTGAGAGACAAAATGAGGCTTAAAGTGTCTCACTGCTCAGTTTGATGAAGAATCCTCTGAAAACAGGAGCTGGTTTTACACTAAAATGATGGAAAGACCTCAGTTTTTACACCAGAAACTGAAATAATCCCACTAACTAATTTAGGAATCAGATTTATTACTGAAAATAAACAAAAATAAATCAGAATATCTCCAATTCAAATGTTGCATTCCTGCTTTCTGCCTCCAGAATCAGCTCTTATTTCCATTGAATGAGCTCTGTTACAGAAAAATAGGAGAAAACAGGAGCTGATTTTACACTAAAATGATGGAAAGACCTCAGTTTTTACACCAGAAACTGAAAGAATCCAAAAAATTAACTTGGGAATCACATAAATTACTGAACGAAACAAAAAGAAATCTGAATATTTCCAATTTAAAGCTTGAATTCCTGCTTTTCTGCCTCCGTAACCAGCTCTGGTTTCCCCTGAATGAGTTCTGTTCAGCAGATATTACAGACAGAAGCAGAAACAGGAGTTCAGGAGCTGAAACAGCTTCACTGAGCAGCAGAAATGTAAAAATATTTGAGTTTTTTTCTTTATGAGCATTAAAAACTGACCTGAGATGGGAAGTATGAGGCTTAAAGTGTTCCTGAGCAGCAGTTCTGCAACTTTCTGAAGCTCTTTCAGGCTTTTTCTTTGGGTATTTTCGGCCTTTTCTCATATTAAAACCTCCATGAAACTACAGTTTGGGTTCACTTGGGTCGACCTGTTTTCTGAATGAAGAGAACTGAGTTTTATGGTGGCTGCAGTTGCTTCTATCGGCCGCTAGAGGGAGCCATACGTCCGTACCCCAGATTTGGGCATTGTGTAAATAAAGTGGTGGACTCAGAGTCCTGATAGCAGTTTACACAATCTACAGGTAAAAGCCAGTAAATTAGAATACTTTGATAAACTTGATTTATTTCAGTAATTGCATTCAAAAGGTGTAACTTCTACATTATATTTATTTATTGCACACAGACTGATGCATTCAAATGTTTGAGTATTGTACATGCTCATATTTTTCATTTTCATACTTTTCAGTTGGCCAACATTTCTAAAAAATCCCTTTTTTGTATTAGCCTTAATTAATATTCTAATTTTGTGACACACGGAATTTTGGAATTTCATTTGTTGCCACTTCAAATCATCAAAATTAAATGAAATAAACATTTGAATGCATCAGTCTGTGTGCAACGAATAAATATAATGAACAAGTTACAAGATTTCTTTAGAAATTTTCTAGTTATTCCTAATAATCCATTTGAGAAATTAAATAAATTCTTATTTGAAAACCTCATTAAAGGAAAATGATACATCTTAGTCATTTGAGGGAGTAAAAAATAGAAAGTTTATTAAATGGATAACACACTTCATGAAGCGAGAGCAACCAGAAAGAGCTGCTTCTAAAAAGCCGTCGAACATAATCATAAAGTAGTCGTAGTCCTCAAAACAACATGTTACTGCAGATGTATGAAATAATAACTAAATAATCCTCCGACCCGAAAGGAAATCACTGGAGGAAAAATCCCCATTGCATTTAAATACAGCAGAACCTCTATTACGATGCCTAAACTCACGAATTCACCAAAATCGGAAGTGAAATTCGATCAAATATTCAACTCAACACCCAAAGTAAATTTCCAACACATCAAAGTCATAAAAAAACGTAAAAATTAAATAAACTAAGTTAGTTTAAAGTTTTCATTGTGAAAGTTAGACTAAGTTAGGCTTCGCCCTGTATCTCAGTCTCCGTTAACCAATAAGAGTAATAAAAAAAAAGCCTTTTTATTGATTATTTCTTTATAACATTTCTTTTTTCCATCTCTCTTATATAAAGCTTTTTTTTTTTGCGATGTGTTAATATCTGTAGTATTTATTAAGGAGTTATCGTAGGTTTTGGGAACCAATTATAGGAACTACGGTGTATTCTGATGGAAGATTTGAACCAACATACCAATATTTAAACATAGAAGTCGCTCCTGGAACCAGTTAGATTCCCATGTAGAGGTTCTACTGTATATTGATTTTCCATAAAACAAATCAATAAAAGAAAAGGTCAAGAGTATCAATAAATGAGTGATGAAAGTTACACAAAATCCTCTTAGAAAGATTCAAATAATTCAGCTTACGCAGCAGATGTATTCTTTGTTGACCCCTTTTAGTGATCAGCTCTGGATTTGGATCCAACTTAAGTTTGGAATCAAACATAGTTCTCCAGTACTTCTATGTCTCCACAATCTCAGCCTCATCGCTCTGGATGCCGCTGGCTGAGGGCGACTCCTGAAACCAGAGACTAACTCCTTCATTTTTGTTACATTCAGATCTGCTTGGGAAGCTGCATTATTTGAACCTCTGTACACATAAACTTTACGGTTTCTCAGAAAGATACAAAAAGATTCAATATTTTTAATGTCAGTGATCTACTGCATGCATAGAGAGTCAAACAGGTTTTCAGAGGCTCGATTAGAGCTCAACCACTTATTGCACCCAAACAAACACTTAAAAAACAGTAAAATTAAGGACAGGGACAACAATTAATTAAAATTAAAGCTGGGTTACATAATAATCAAGCAAGAGTAAAATAGTCCTTTACAGTAGCTGCTCAGGATCGAGGTGCCGATTAGCGGGTGTGATGGTTTCATTGTCCTGGGCAGAGTTAAACAGTCTCAGGGTTTTATCACCTTTTTACTAGGGAATAGTGCAACAGTACAAGGATAGAGCTTCTTCTCCTCAGTCCTCAGAGGTTTGTCTTTGGTGGGAGGCCGGATCTTCAGACCAGGACGGTGACAGTCAGACCAGCCATGGTTCTGCTCCGGGTTTCTGCCTGTTAAAGGAAGTTTTTCCTTGCCTGTGTCGCCTAGTGCTTGCTCATGGTGGGAATTGTTGGGTTTCTGTAGTTAACTTCAGAGTAGGGTCTGACCTGCTCTGTTTGGAAAGCGCTGTGAGACAACTGTTGTTGTGATGTGGCGCTATATAAATAAAATTGAATTGAATTGAATTGACAGGAGGCAGACGGTGGTTGCCACCGGATACCAGTGACGTGACGACATACTGAGGAAACACAAGGTTCTTTCTCCTTTGAGGGAAATACAGATGGAAACAGAGCCCGAGGACACCTGGAGTGGTGACGTTAGGCTGGTCCCGATCCGATATCTGGATCGGATCGGCCACCGATATTCGCAAAAATTGCGAATCGGCTGGCAGGAGAAAATACAGATCCAGACTCCAGATCCAATTTTTTTTAAGTCCGATCCCACATTATCATTAGCATCTCCTAACCCACAGGTCTGTGTCCTAACCATTAAGTTGTTATCAGAGTAAATCCCTGTTGAACATGAGTCTGATAACCGAGTAAGTAGATAAATAACTTTAAACTTTAACACATGCTCTGACAGGCCGGGATTGATATTGGATCAGAAGTGAAAAAAGCTGGATCTGGACATCCCTAGGTGACATACCTGTCGACAAGCATGTTCCACTAAGATGTAAACTGTGACCAGGAAGATCAAAACCCGCTTTGCTGGAAGCGGCTTTGGATAAAAGCATCTGCTAAATGCATGAACATTACAATACGGATTATTTATGGAGGATGCAGCAGAGGGAAAGGAAAGTTTATTTGTCCTAGATTGATAATAATAAATGAATATTTTAGAATGAGATGAGTATTTTAGGAGCATCGAACTGAAATGAAGCCTCACTCAGTTTGGGTCTGACTCTGGGAACCAAACAGAAGGCTGCCTCTACCTCCTGATTCACCCTCAGTTGATAAATCCAGGTGAAAGGCCAACAGAAAGCCTTCCACACCTGGGATTCAAACTGAGGACAACGGCTGACAATCTCCTCGGGGGAGGGGAGGGCCATTAAATGGTCAGACTTAGAGAATCAGACAACAATGGCAACATAACAGTCACCTTATCAGGATAGTCATAAAGTCCAGAGCAATGTGGGACCAAGGTCTCCCTGGGCTGCGTAGTGGTAAAAAATAACTAGCTGGTTAATTTCCCGTCTTCCCTTCATTACAGGTGCTAGAAGCACCACTTACAGAGGAGCGTCTTGACTCTTTGACGTTGGCATTGGTGGATGGGACCACATCTGGCTCAAAAGATGGGGATAAGACTAGGGAACAGAGCCCAGTAGAGGCTCTAAAACAGGTTAGCAGAGTTCGTAAATGTGCTACCTGTCCCGACTCCACCACCTCCACCTGTGCCAACTCCACATGGATGTTTTGGCTGGTGGTTTCAAGTCCAGCGTGTGAGGTTTGTCCAAACGTCCTTTCTTGGTGAGCAATCAAGTCCTTCAGTTAGTTGACCCTCCAGGAATGGATGGACCCAGAGAATGAACTGAGATCGGACTTGTGGACAGGCAGGGGGGTCGGGGTGTTCAGGTCCACGCAATCCTAAAATGACTGGTAGAGCAAATCCAAGTATTCATGGTCAGAATGGCGGAAGGTCGAAACCAGGAGGTCCAGAACAGTTGGATGGGGATTAGGTTTGGGTCGGACATGCAGGGTCATGACTATGAAACAAGTAGAAGGTGATGATTAGCTACTGTGATGGTCATGGCTTGACCCTAAGATTCATATCATCACGGTTTCCTTTAGTCAACCTCCATGTCTTCCACAGGATCAGGCTGGAGTATGTTTTTAAGGTGTGGATTATCCTTCCCTGCCTCTCTAACTTTGTCCAACAACTGCTTTTCTCCAGATTTGACACAAAGCTTTCAAAGATAGTGAGCAGACCTTGTGCAAACTCGATCACACTATCTTTATGCAATGGAAGGTCATAGCAGTACCCTCCAGTGTGCAACCCGAAAACTCTGCACTGAGCATCAAACACCGGAGAGCCAGAGGCACCATGATACATGAAGGTGTTGTAGGTCCCCACTTGTTCTGCTTTAGATCCACCCATCAGGATGTCTGCAATGCCTTGGTCTTCGATGGACTTAATCAAATCCAGAATGAACAGAGAATTCCCATATGAAGCAAAATGGTCATTAACAGCCTTTCCCCTGTTTTCCAGCTCTATTATAGATGTGGGATCCATTTTTTTCACCTCTCCTGCAGGATGGCCTAAGAGACAGGCCTGTCCACTCTTAGGCATCGGGCCAAATTTCACCAGCAGCCCTCGTGGTATCTTCCTGCTCTCTACTGGCTGGTTGGGTTTCTGATCATCTGGATTGAGCTCCAGCACAGCGTAATCCAGCTCAGTATTAAAGTCTACAAACTTTTCCTTAGCACGGAAGGAAACGTAATTGGTCTTTGGCTCCGGTTCCTCGTAGTTAAACAAAGCATATACTTCTACGTCCCCCTGCACCTTTGCTCCTTCAACACAACCTTTAAACAGATGTGCGTTGGTCAGGATTATATTATCCAGAAGCACAAAGCCTGTTCCCGTACACCTATCTCCAACAACGATTTTGCAAACCGACTTTCCCATTTCAAGCAGCTTCCTAACTCTGTGAACTTCACTAAAGGACTTTAGTATCTTTACAAAGTTCTCCTTCCTCAGAATCAGGGCTTCCTGGTAGGAACGATCAGGAAACCGACTCTCCATCAGTTTTTTAAGCTCTGGGAACTGCTCGCGAAGAAGTTCATATACCTCTGAATCACTGCCCTCGCCTCTCTGCTCGATGTACTCTTTCACACTTGTTCCCCTTTCCTCTGCCAGTTTTACCAATAAGTTATCACTCTTTCCTCCTGTGTTGTTCCATATTGGAAGACAGATTCTGAATTTCTTCTGATTAAGATTATCAATCCTAGATGTGCACGTTGTCATTTCGTTTTTATTGTCGTAGGCGGACAGGGTGAAGTCGCCAAGATCGTCGATGAAGCGGCCGTCTTCCCTCACAGCCTCCTCCACCGTCATCCCTTTGGCGCCATAAATGCAGAGAAAATCGTGCCGTTTCAGTTTGCTGCTATGAAACAGCACCTTTGTCCTGGTGTCCTGCCCGCCCTCTGTGGCAATGTAAAAGACAGAATACTGATCCTTCTTCAAAATGGCCCCATCTCTCTTTCTGGCTTTTTCAACCACCTTGGTATCCTTAAGAATGGTCAGAGACCCCCCATCCTCAACACAGGAACAAGGGAAGTGTGTTGGAATGAAAGGCTCCCCGTCCATGTAGTTCAGCTGAATGATGATGTTTTCATCTGGACACTGGATCTGTTTTTTAAATTTGTCAGGCAAATGGGATTTTATGGCCTCCAGCACCGTTTGGGGTTTACAACAGTAAACGTTGTATTCTTTACTTTTAGGTGGATCCAGTTTCACTTTAAAGTTATGTGTGTGTCCATCCTGCAAGAGACCCAGAGAGAAACGGTAAGGGTACCTGATCACTTATGTGGGAGAAGCATGGAGTTCATGCAGTTTCTCAGGGCTCACTGACCTCCGACAGCTCACGCTCTTCCTTTATCACTGGATGTTTCGAAGCCATCTGCATCTACGAGAAGCACAAATGATGTTCCTTCACACCAATCCCCAAAAACTATTGTGTAGTCGGCAGCTTAAGGCACACTGGTTTCCCTCTCAGGGGTCACATTGTAGTGGATTAATATCTCGCAATGCATATATTCATGTCACAGTAATTATATTCATGTCACAGTGATCAATAGTGTGCCTTAAAATGACCAAAGAGAAGAAGTAAATAGGGAGATAATGTGGGAAGCGGTGGAAACAGCCAAGGTCCAGATGTCAAACTAATTAAATATGAGGGTCAATGATGTGTATCACCGTTGAAAACCATGGGTAGATACTGGATAAAGACCAGAATGAACAATGGCGAGTAGAGGTGGGGCGAGGATGCCCTTTTGAAAAATACACATCCTAGGGTAATTTCCACCGGTACAAAATCAAATAACAGAGATATCCGTGGAATATGACCTGAAATTACGTCACAATTAGGAGGGGCTCGGGGAGAAGCTCCAAGACCCAGGGAGTGTATATAAGCAGACCACTTTTCCCAAGAGAGCAGGTGTTAGCCTGGCTAACAGCTCATGTGGTTGACTTGTATTTGCTGCAATAAACCACTCTGGACAGAGACCCAGCTGCCGATGCTTCTTTTTGACCACTGTTTGAGATTTTTCAACAACTTCTCCAAGAACTTAGTATTTTTGAAAGACTTAGCATAATTCACTACGTCGTCAGGAGGACATCCACAACAACATCTACGATGGGGAGTTCCTATTCGGTGGGGTCAGTCGGTACAACACACTTGGTTTGGGGTATCATATTCGCATGTCCAGGAAGGAAACGCCTCAAATCCCCGACTTCCCACAGAGCATGGAGTCAGTCGGGGTTTGATTCTCTGGTGCCAATCAGTGACAAAGCAGGTCCTGTCCATCTGAGCCTGAGGCTCGTGCGTTTGGCCACTAGCTTAGATGCTCAAACCCGGAAAGACGGGTCGAGTTTCTTCCATACCACGTGTGTTGGACCTCCTTCCTCACCTTCAGGGAACAGCAGCCCTCTATAACATTACTATTTCGCCACATAAAGGCTTGTTCACATACAAGGTGTTACCATTTGGACAGGGTTCGAAATGACCGATCGGCTGATCACCAGAAGTGCACGCTTTATTGTTCGGGTGTGAGAAAATCAAAAGCTGTTAGCTCCGTGGGGCACGACGAGTTGGCAAATTAAGTTTTTATATCAAATACATGCAAAATAAACAGGGAATCAACAAAAAAGAAAACTAAACAAAACGTTTTTCTTTGAAATCCATCGTCCTCCGTGTTATCTTGCAGTTTATCATAATTTCTATGAAATCGTTGGAGGCATGACGTGGTTGCACCGCCAACCGAGAGGAACTGAAAACGTTTGTAATAATATTATATAATAGCACAGCGACCACAGTGTTCCAGGAGATCTGCTTACAGACCATTTTCTGTCTGTTGATTTCCGAATATGACGTCAGGCTACGAAGAAACATTCGGATTTAGATTGCTGGAGCCCACAGACAGAATAGAACCAATCGGGCTGCTACTTTTAGTCAGGGCTAACAACTTTTCAGAGCTGTTAGCCCTGCTGGCTAACACTAGATTCCCACGAATTTCGAACCCTGATTTGGAGTGTGCTCAAGCCAATGTAGGGGTTAGGGCAAGGTATCCCTCTTGTGGCCATATTTTCGTATGACATCCTGATAGCAGGGAAGGATGACCAACAGCATCTTTATCTACCGGCCCCAGTCTGAGACCAGACAGAAAAGGTCTGGTCTCAGACTGGGGGAAGTGTTCATTCATGAACAATGAACCCAGGCCAACAAACGTAATAGAGCTGAAGGCCTACTCTGGACTACTAAGCCATTACAGCAGGTTCTTACCCAGCCTGTCAACTGTTCTGGTCCCAGCTCATAAACTCCTAAGAAAAGAGACAACAGACTGATTTGGAAGAATCAAATGAAATGATGCAGTAAGCAGAGGTCCTAGTACACCAGCGGTTCCCAAACTTTTTATTCTGAGCCCCCATTTGGTTTATTTTAAGTTTAAGGCAAGTGTATTTGCATAACACATTTCATCTACAAGATAAATCAAAGTGCTTCACAAAGAATTTAAAAGCAGAATAACTTCACACACCCCTCCCCCATATCCATCTGTGAATCTTAGATAAGTTATCAGTAGTCTTTGGCCTTCATTAAGCTGCTCCTCTGTGTCCTTTAACATGTCATAAATGCTCCTGCTGACGGTTTTATTGGACAGGAAAGTAACTAGGCTCGTCCCGATCCAATATCCGTATCGTACAGCATGAGAAAATGCAGATCCAGACTCCAGATCCATTTTTTAAAGTTTTGTGTTTTCCAGTGTGCTGATTAAAAATAATCCATTACTGATTCTGAGTTAATTGACTATTTTCTATTCAGGTTGTTTGTGTGTTTTCCCTTTTTTAATACAGTTTATAATATTATTTGCACTTTTTTACTGTTCACTGATACCATTTCCGTTTGTTATATATAATTTTGTCTATTTTGTGTTTAACCCTAAATAAACAGGTCAGTGTCTCTTTACCAACCAGTGTTTATAATTCAGACTCCCCTAATTAAGCTGACTAGCTGTTATCAGAGTAAATCCCTTTTCAACATGAGTCTGACAACTAAGTAAGTAGGCTGAGTAACTTTATACTTTAGTAAAAGCTCTGATAGGCTGGGATCGGATCGGAAGTGCAAAAAGCTGGATCGGGACATCCCTGGGTGGAACCCTGTAGTTTACTGGCTGAGTCATCAGTCACCGTTTAAACCACGCCCACAGCAGAGGGAAGTGTCTGTTTTCCCACTGAGACACCCTGCCAGCAGCTTCACACAAAGCTGGTTTACTAAAGCTGCAACCATGCTGGCAAACACTAAAGAGAATGTCACCACTGACTCTGATCAGGGTTTCTCCTCTGGATAGCTTATTGTCATAGTGAAGAGAAATGTAATATTGTGTCTACTCTGTAAGTCGCTTTGGATAAAAGCGTCTGCCAAATGCAGGAACAGAAAGACACATAAACATTCACCCCTTCAGTTTGTGAGTTCCTGTCTGAAAAAGTCAACTGACTTCTCTTTGTGCTCAAACTGTGGTGCAGGGGTCACCAACCTTTTTGAAACGGAGAGCTACTTCATAGGTACTGAGTCACATGAAGGGCTACCAGTTTGATACACTCTTCTGAAATAATACATTTGCTCAATATGCTTTTAGCTATACTTTATTAATAATCATTAATGATACTCATCTGTGACAACAGTGACAACAAAATGGGAAACATATCAATATCCACCACTTTATCTCTATTTATCTGAGCAACTGTTAAATTTTCTGATGATCACTTACTCTACATCACTACGTTTACATAGGAGTTTTCAATTTCACTCATTTTCACTAGCCACTGACAAAACCATGTAGTTAGCATGCTAGCTTTTGTGGCACAGTTGCCCCGCAAATCAAACACACGCCGGTTTCTTTTAAAGTCGTAAAAACGAACTCCTCCTCCCATTCGTTGTGAAAGTGATACGTTTTCTTTAGTTTTTCTGACATGTTTTTGGGGTAGGAAACTGCACCCATCCCAGCTGCGCCCGCTAGCTTACTCTCCACTGACACTGGTTTTGTTTCGTCACGTGCACAATACTGACCTTTGAACTAGAGAAAACTTAAAATGAATAAATAATGAACATATTTTTAAGATATTGTCATTTTAAATCAAATCTATATGAATGCAAGTGTGATTAAAAAAGAATAGCAACGGAACAAGATTCAATTTTAGACGCAGCTCACTATTGAGTCGTGCTATTTTTAGAACAGGCCTGCGGGCGACCTCGTGCCCGCGGGCACCGTGTTGGTGACCCCTGCTGTGGTGTATCAGAGTGGCGTCTCAGCTTTTTTATGCCTCAAGCTGCCACAAGCTGGCGCTTTAGGACAGACTGACAGACACTGTGGTCTCTCCTCAGTACACACCTGTCCAGGTGAGGCCAAAGGCAAGATGTGCTTTGTTATTTTTTCTGCTCTTTGGCTTTAAGGAAACTGGCTTGGAAGCAAATGTGGCAATGCCTGGTCAAAAACCTGTCCATTAAGCTCAGTCAGGCATAGGCCGGTCCCGATCCGATATCTGGATGGGATTGTCCGCCGATATCCGCAAAAAACTGCGTATTGGACTTCCGGGTCAACGTTGCAACAAGATGGCCGCATAAAAACAGGCTCCTCCGTGACGGTAATTAAACTTATCCCCCTCGCCAAATCCAGAAGACTATCAAAACAACAGGCTAAACCACGTAAAGAGGGAAAATGCCGAAAACTAACAAGACCGAAAAGAAAACGACTAAAACACAAGAAAATGACGAACAGTCGGGAGATGCTAGTGGAGATGAAGCTAATGCTATCACGAGGAACACTAGCCTTGACCCACAGCAATACGCGTTGCTGGAGGGTATCAAGACACTTTCACAAGAATTAAAAGAATTTAAAAACGAAATGAAGCACGACATAGAAAAACTCAAAGAAGATGTCAAAGCCACAATGAAGGAAGATCTCAGCAGATTCAGGGAGGAAATGATGTGCGAGCTGCAGAACCAGAAGAGCAGTATCACCGAGGTACAGACCCGAGTAGCTGATCTGGAAGCTGCATGCTTGGAAATGAAAAATGAGCTGCTTGAGACATTAGAAAAGAACAAAGCTATGAACGACAAACTGGTGGATCTGGAGAGTCGAAGCCGGAGAAATAATCTTCGTATCTATGGAGTTCCGGAAGGGAAAGAAGGTAGATCGGTCTCGGAGTTCGTCACCGATTTGCTAAATAAACAGCTGAAGCTACCAGACGGAAGTGAACTCCAGATACAGCGGGCACACCGA